AAAAAAGTAGACTGGGTTTTATTATTGTTTTTACACAGCTGCCTGCTTCTCAGGGTGGATGGGTGTCCAGCTTAGAGTGGAGATCAGGATGAGCTTGATAGAGGTTAAGTGGCAGAATCAACACAACTTGATGCAGATTCTTTCAATTTCCTAGATTCTACAAGTTTGTGGCTTCTTTTTCCTCACTAGGGAGAGGTTTTGAGAAGGCTCCATTTCTTTTTTTTTTTTTTCAAGATTTAATTTATGTATATAAGAACTGGGGCACAGGCCAGAGGTGCAAAGGGGGTGGGGAGAGTAAGAAGATTCCCCAGAGACAGAGTGGGGAACAGAACAGGCAGATGGACTGAAACACACTGCTGAGGGGAGCAGTGGGTCAGACAGGAGAGGTCTGCTGTGCCATGTGGGTCACCGCTCTGGCCAGAGATGGAACTCTAATGCTGTGCTTTAATCCCTTATGCCACCAGGGAGGGCCCTGGGGGCTCCATTTCTTCTGCAGAGCCTGAACTCTGAAAAGCCTGGAGACTCCATCCTGACTTAAGCTTCAAGTTTACCACACACTAATTTTCACGGTCTTGGCAGACAGCACCAACACCCACCCATTTGTGTATAAGTCACTTTTATTGCTCCCTTTCCTTCCTAGCGCACCCCAAATCTTTGGGATGTGTGGTTCTATCTACAATACAAATGTGGAAACAGGTCTCTTGTGAGACCACCTTCTTGTCTTTCTGTGCAGTCAGACCTCTGTCATGGGCTGGGTTGTGTCTCTCAAATTCATGTGTTAAAATCCTAACCCCAGAAGGTCAGATTGTACCTGTATTTGGAGATAGGGCTTTTAAAAAGGTGATTAAGTTAAAATGAGGTCATCTCCAAAAGCTTCTACATGCCTGTTTTATATTTTTATTATTATAATTACTATTTTGTGATAACCCCAGACAGAAGAGATAGTCTTAGAAAAAATTTGAATATACAACATTGTTAGCTGTAAGCATGAGGTCATGCAGATCTCCAGGATTTATTGTTGAACCAAAACCCTGTAATCTTCGATTAACACCCTCCCTTGCCACCCTCCCTGTAGTCCCTGACTACCACCATCCCAATCTATAGTCTGACATTCTTAGATTCACCCTAACACAGGATCACGTGGCATTTACCCTTTCGCGGTCTAGCTCATTTCACTTGTCATACTGTCCTTGATGTTCACCCACGTTGACGGTTTGGTTTTGTGTATTTTTTTATTTACAAAGTTCTGCTCCTTTGATGTTATTTTTCTCTGCAGTCTTTTTGTTGCAGAGGGTATTATCAGTGACTCTTCTACTCTGATCTTAGTAGAAGTGCAGTAGTCTTGTCTAGTTTCTAATTTAAGAAATTATATTTCCAAGATTGTACCATTACATATGTTTTCTGTAGTTTTGTATTAAATATATTTTATTAGGCTAAGGGGATTTCTCTGTAATCCTGGTTTATTAGTTTCATTAAATCATAAATGTCAACTGATCATCTTCTTCTGCATCTATTGAATGCTTTGTGAGGTATTAATTCTTTAATCTGTGAATGTGATCAGAGCCATCCTCAGCCCATATGGTGCCTTTGTATGAATGAGAAAAGAGGGGCTCCTTCCTCCAGGTGGACACAGCTCTATGCCAGGGTGCATAGTTTGGCAGCGAAGCCTGATTCAATTTCAGCCTCATTCAACACCTCAGTGAGATGCCCACATGTAGGTCACCAGTGAGGAGTCTGCCTAGAAGCCAAAACCCTGTGTGTGATCTTTCAAGCCTGATGATAGGCAATTACGAAGGCTCTGCCTGGCAGCCTTCATGGGAAAAGCTGCCCTCCCCAAGTGAGACTTGGTGCCCAGCCAGTGTCTGGAGGGTGTTGCAGCCAAGGACCCATCTCCTGCTCCCCCACCCCCAGTCTGCTCTTACACTTATCTGGCAATACCTGAATTCTTAGGTCAGTTGCTTCCAAGTGTGGAGGCTGCATTGGGTGAGACGGTCGTGCTGACAATGTTAACTCTTCCAATCCATGAGTAAGATATCATTCCATTTCCTGTGTCTCCTATTTCTCTTGGGCTTCATTGTATAGGTTTTTCACTCACATGTTAAGTTTGTTCTTAGGTATTTAATTCTTTTCGATGCAATTAAATGGGATCATTTAACTAATTTCTTCCTCTTCTAATTCATCATATGCATATAGGAATGCAACAGATTTTTATATATTGATTTTTGTAACCTGTCATTTTGTTGTGCTGATTGTTTCTACATGTGCAGTTGAGACGTCAGGATTTTTTTTAATGTGTATCAAGTCATCTGCAAATAATAAGTCTCACTTCTTCTTTCCCAATTTGTTTTGCCTAATTGCTCTAGCTAGAACTCCCAATAGTAAGTTGAAAAGGAGTGGTGAAGGTAGGCACCCTTATCTGGAAACTGATATTAGAGGAAAAGCTTTGTTTATCACCATGAGAATGCACAAATTAATGTGATCGTGAAAACATAAAGTCAGGGCCCTCCCTGGTGGCACAAAAGGTACAGCACTATGAAGCTAGCAGCAGCCACTTCAGCACCAGTTAAATTCCTGACCAGGGAGATGACCCACATGGCATGGGAGACCTCTCCTGTCTCACCCACTCTTCCCCTCAGCAGTGTACTTCATCAGTCAGCCTGTTCTGCTCCCTGCTCTGTCTCTGGTGAATCCTCTCACCACCTCTGCACCTCTGGCTTGTACCCCAGTTCTATATGCATAAATAAAACTTTAAAAAAAAATAATAAAGTAAAAAAAATTATTTTCATGGTACATATTAGCAAAGTAGTGTCAAGATTGTCCATCTTCCTAAAACTGGAAACTGGCCAGCTGGTTACCTTGAGACAATTTCTGATCCATAGAAGTCTGTGTGATGGTAACACTGATGCCCAGCCCAAAGCACTGACATACCCCAACCCCTGGCCTCCCAGCCTCCAGCCCCCAACTGTGTGAAGTACTTTTGGTGTTTCATGATGTTGAGTCTGCATAGCCTGATGGTAAGAGAAAGATACCAATCTAGAAGTCAACAAACCCAAGTCTTCCTTTAGCTCAGTGGCCTTGGGTGAGACACCTGTCTTATCTCAGGTTCCTCGCCTGTCAAATGAAGCCTGTTTACAGTTGCTGAAGCTTCTCCCACTCTCATTTTTGAGGATCCTGTCACCAGGAAGAAACTACACTTTCCCCAGAGTGGCCATAACTTGAATGAAAGTGAGACATTGGCATAGAAAATAGTAGAGGGTTACCAAGCACCCAGAAAATTCAAAGCGAAGCTTTGTTTGGATTCAAGTCAGCAGCTCTCTATGGCCTCATCACTTTAACACGTCAGTGGCTTTCTCTTTTTGGATTGCCTAGATACCAGCAGAATCCCCTGGTCCAGCAGATCGAACCAGAATATTTTGGTCTCTTCCCCAGGCTTGTTCAGTCTCCCTCTCAGCCTCCAAGCAGGCAGCGCCTCACTAATCTCATCCTCCTCGTCCCTCTCACAATGGCGTCTGGCGTCAGTATGAGTCCGGCCTCAGGTGCCCGGGTTAGGAGCCCTTTCAGAAGCTCCCACTGGCACATTCTGAGGCCATACCCTTCTCTCTCCTCCCAAAATTCACTCTTCCCACCCCTGCACTCTGCCAACAGCACACTATCCCTGTAGCAGTGATGGGTAGCAGCAACTGCCGCCCTCCCGGCCTGGGACTGCTGTGGTTCTGCTCTGATGCTTTATCATGAGCCCACAGGGATTTGGGAAGTGGGTGACACAGTTGCACTAAGACCATCAGAAGCTCAGAGGTCATCCTGTCTGCCCCATTTTACAGATGAAAAACGAGGTGTATTTCCAAAGCAAAGTCATACAACTAGTTAGTGGTGAGAACTAGAACCAGGTTTGATTCCCAGACAGGACTGGTCCCTACCGATTCCCTATGTGACATCAGGAGCTTTCCCTACTTGCTCTCCATGGAATCAGGGGTATTTCTGAAATTGTTAGGTTGCTTGACAAGATACTGAATACCCAAGATAGACAAGGGAAATTAAAACTTGGGTATCATCTCTACAGGAGGCCCTTCCTGAGCCCACCAACTTCAGTATCTATTCTCTGAATTTCTTAGATCTTTATCTACAACTCATAGGGCACTTTACTTCCAGAGAGCAATATCTGGATTCGTCTGAGCCTGATGTACTTTACTATATCTGAAAACACTCCAGCTCCTTAATAAACTAAGTCTGGTTCTTCGAGAGGAAACTCCTGATGCTTGGCTCGGCCCTGCGTGGGTAGCCCGTGATGAAAACACAGAGTGCAGCTCCTTGTTTTCACTCTGATCCAAGCCCAGAATTAACATCGTGGATTTCCTGTAGCAAAGAATCAGGAGAAACATTTAGGCAAGGGCTCTTCAGCACTCGGGACAGAGTAAAAGCAAGCAGCTCACTTATTTTGGGGATCAGGGTTCCCTGTGACTTTCCTCCCCCAGAGAACCTGGCCTGTCTCCACTCTGCGAACTGTCTCTGCTCTGTGTGCCCTACGGCGTCTTATCCCGGGGTTCACCTGGTGACTTACCCCGTGCCTCAGCAAGCTGGTAGTCTGCTGCTAGTTGCTTTCATCCTCTGAGCCAGTCTCCCCACAGGACGTGGTAAACAATGGCAGCAGGTGCCAAGTAAATGTTGGTGCCCGACTAAGGATACGGTTCGTTCACATGGGCAAAGGAAACGGGGTCATTTAAAAACAAGACCATGAAAAATAAAACCTATAGTACACTCCAGAAACCAAAGCCTTTGAAAGAGCACACCCTCCTGCAGAGCCACAAGCAAGCGAAAGCGCTCGATTCAGCCAGCTAGCTTTTACCTCAGCAGCTCTCAGGTCACACTGTGAAGCCACTCAACACTGTCCAGAGGCCTCTAGTGAAAGGGGGGGCGGGCGGGGGGAGCCATGATGGAACAAGAAGCTGTACAATCTAAGAAGAGACAAGGACCAGCACTTGGGTTTTTTTTTTTTTTTTTTTAATTCTTTTACCAGATAAAAAAGAAAAAATAGTGATTGTTTCTCTTCACCCTAATATTTCAGTTTACCAAGGGAGAGTGGGAGAGAGATTTGTTGAACAGTGTGATTCATGCTCCTGTCCTGGAGCAAATTCCTCCTGTGCTCTACACCCCCTCACGCAGGAAGGACAGGGGCGCAGGCTGGAGCAGCAGAGCTGCAGCGTGCTGGCGCCTTTTCTTCTCCCCATTGCCAGAGCACTCAGCCCCATTTCTGTCTGTCCCCATGCCACCCTCCCCAGTTCACCAAAGGGGCAAGGAGGCAGGGCTTGGGAGGCAGGGCAGGAACGCACACAGCAGACACAGCAGAAGGCCACCTCTTCTGCTTCTATTGCACCGCCTGGCTCGGATCCCTGCCCTGTCAGTGGGCGACAAAGTAAAATGCTTTTAGAAATCCAAACAAGGAAACCATTGCTGTGTGCCAGGCTCGAGGGGAGGTGTGTTGTTGTGTAGTTTGTTTTGATACAAAGATTTATGTTATTTCATGATGGGGGCAAGGCAAAGATTGTGCCTCTTTAAAAAATCATATGGGGGTTGGACATTTGGGGCCCTGACGTCACCTGGGCTTTCCCCCTCAAGTTCAAAGGGTCAGGAGTAACCCTTCCTCCAGTCAGGTCTTCTTCTGCAGCAGCATCCGCCAGCCACACAGGTCCCTCACCGGCTGTGAGGGCTCCCAGACACCTAGGGGCGATCTCTTTTTCTGAACACCTGGAGAACTGAGGAAGATCCTAGAGCTTATCTTGCAGGTTTCTCCATAAAGTGGCAGCTGTTTGGTTTTCATTCTTCTTTTTACCAATGCAACTAGAGTAGGACTGGAACAAGTTGTCTAACTGACCTCACAGACAGAATAAATGTCTCTAAAAAACAGTGGGGCTGGGGGAGGAGGACTGACTTTGATTTGGCAAAGCTGCAAATCTTTCACCTTCATTGGCTGGAACAAAGCTGGTGGGTGAAGACAAACCTAACTGAGCCAATGGCAAGAACTGCAGGCTATGAGAGACGACGGGTCACACACAGGACTGTATAAATTGTGGCACTATAAAGATGAGAAGGCAGGTCCATGATACCAGCTGGGAGCAAGCCTGTGGACCACACTTCCAGAAAGTTGTATCTGTCCTGCTGGTAGTGGTAGCATCCAGATAAATCAGAGTGGTTCTCCTTCCTCCTCTTCAACAAGTTTTGAAAGTTTCTCATTTAAATAACTATGTACACAAACACAAGCCCGGTCTCTCTTTTACAAGAGGTCCTTCAATTGAGGGTCCTACAATGGCTTTAGAGAGTCGGCTCCAGTTGCCTTTTTGGAGATTTACTGCTTGGGGCCAAACCTGCAAGGAGAAGAAATAATGAGCGCCACACCAGGGGAATCTTTCATACAAAAGCATCCCAGTGTTTAAGGGAGTGAGTCTTCATATCAACAATGAACCCTCAAGCCCCTTACAGGGCTTTGGTACCTGGCACATTGAATAGCTGGGCTGGGACCCACTGGCCTTGTGCCAGCTGCTCTCACCAGAGTGTCACATATACCCAGCAGTAGCCCTGGGAACACAGCTCGTACCTCCCTCTGATAAGGACAGTTTCTCAAGTTCAGCTTCAAGTTCAGCGTCCGAGATCCTAGGGTTAGGCACACTGTTGGTATAAAACGTCTCATGGGGGTTATCAGGCAGTTCCATAGGTTCTTTGGTGGTATCCTGAAGAAGGATGTCCAATTCCTTCTCCAGTTCCTCACTGTCAAAGTCTGGAAAGAAAAGATGACACATAAGCCCAGGACTGAGGTTAACAAAACCCTGTTCAACTTTACAAAATATGTCCAGACCTCCTCGCAGGTTAAAACAAAATCACTTGGCTGGGAAGGAAAGGTCAACTTCAAGCAGATGCTCTCCTTCCACTCTCAGAGCTCCCTCACTGAGGAGGCATTCTGCTAAGTCCACAGAATGGACCCTGCTTCCCCTCGCCCTTGAAGAAAGATCTTCCGGTCGAAAGTGTCTGAGAAGGAGTGCTGGAGCATTGAGGGGTCATCAACAAGGCCTTGCAAATGATGGCAATGTCCTCCAGTGATGGCTGTGGTCAAGCCCCAGGAGGGGAGGGGAAGGCGTGCACAGCCCGTACTAGGAAAAGCAGACCCAATCAACAGGAACAACATTCTCCTAGGAAGAAGGGATGATAACTTCATCAACTCACCTAAGCCATTAGTTACCCCACCGGCCAGAGTCTGAGAGACTTCATCCTGGGTGTCACACAGCTGTTAAAAAAAAAAAAAGTAGGAAGCCTTGAACTCTGCATGGTGTTTCTGTGGAACTCAAAGACTCCAGGTCCCAGTGTTCAAGATAACACAGTAATGTGCCCAGATCAAAGAATCACAGGAAGATTCCTCAAGTGCACATGGTTAAAAAGTCAGGTTTGAGAAGAGAGGAAGCGCAATTTCATCACCTCTGTCCCCAAATGCCTCCCTCTGTAGGCTTCCCTGCCTGCCCCTCTCTGTACCTCTTGGATCTGATCCACAAGACTCTCTGCCTTCTCCACCGTGACATCCTTCATGGAGAGTTTTAGTGCTCCTACCCCTGCCTGATAGGCATTGAAAACCTAAAGAGGAAGCAGAATTATCGGGAAGAATTTAAGAATTATTAGAACATTTGGCATGAAGAATGGCAATATTGTTTGACCTTTGTAAGAGAGCTTTGGCTCTCTTTATCATTTGCCACCCACACCGCCTCACCCCATGCCCACTGAGGCCAAAACTTCCCAACAGAAAGGCAAAGGCAGTCCCAACCATATCCTGAAAGAACCTGGCCTCCTTCAAACAGCCAAGCCTCAGTAGAGGGAGCGAGCAGAGCATGCTAGGGATACTGGCCAAGAGATGGGGAAGGAGGGCAGTGGCTACCATCTGATCCGTCTGGGAGGCGTAGATTCGGTCCAGGATGCCTTGCACAGTGTCCAGCTTGGCGTGCAGGGCCTCGATGCGCTTTTCCGTCCGTTGTTTGGCCTTGAGAGACCTCAGCGCCTGAGGGAGCACAGAGAGGTCAGGGGCAGCCTGGGTAGGCCAAAGGACCGGGAAGACAGGTCTCCCTAGGCGACCAGTCCAGGTCTCCACAGTGCCTCAGCTCCCTGCACACTGTTCCCCATGAGTTCCAAGAAGGTTGCCACACCGCTGCTGGGGCTCCTCTCACTGCCAGCCCGGCCCAGGTACACACTGAGTGGAATAAGAAGACTCACCAGCTGCTTTTTTCCTGCTCTGCATGCCCGGCGGGCTTCTTCTTTACACCTACGTAACAAAGGAAGTGCAGTCAAGAGGACTGCCACTGGACTGGGGGTGACAGAGCCCTGCAGAGTCACTGCAATCAGAGGATCACATCCTGTCCAGATTCCCACTGACAAACTTCTGCAGTGGCCGAACCTCAGCCTGGGCAGCTGCCCCGGGAAAGGCACACTGGCTGTGGTAATCCCACAAGGAGGTGCCCTCAGGACAGTGTCGTCTTGGGAGCCAAGAGGTGGGAAATACCCCTTTGCCTCCCCACAATGGCGGGTTTATCTTGCACTCAGATGGCCTCAAGCACATTCTACTTCAAAGTCCTATGTCATACTCTCAGAGAAGTACTCATGTGCCTTTAGCTGGGACGCCTTGCACAGTCATCAGGGGAGGAAGGGGAATCCTTCAGCAAGGCCTCTGAAAGGAGAGACTTGTCTTGATCACAAGCATATCGCTAAGGCCCTAAGACAAGGCGTGGCTCAATAAACACCAGCTAAATGGATATTGGCACAGGAGTATCCATCATGTCAGTAACTGTAATGTTTGCAGGAAGAACTAAAATTCAGGTTTCCTCTTTGGTGATAGTCTGTGCTTCCCATAATTGCCATATAATGAGTCATTAGTACTCTAACAATTAGTAAAAATAATAGTAACCTTTTTTAAATAAAAGCCCACAGACACCAATGCTTTGCCAGCTCTGAGGGGCAGGCAGGGCGGGCCTATGGGATATTCAGCTCAGGAGCGGTTACCTCTCTGCTTCCTGGGACAAGGACTCCACTTTGCGGGAGAGCAGCTGCTCACTCTGCATCAGCTGGTAAACTCCAACATCTACGTCGTTGACAGGAGAGACCTTGGCATGCGGCCCCCGGGCAAACTTGACAATCTGAGAGACAGGGACAAATTACTGCTGCCCCTACTGCCAATGCTGAGAACCCTCAGGCCCGGGTGCCGGTGGGCATGTCAGTGTACACTTAAGCGGCCATCACGAGGCATGAGTGAGCAGTTCAGCTGCCGTACCTTTTCCCCATTCTGCTCGAGGACTGTGACTCTCTTCTCCTTCTGCAGCTGCAGCAACACCAAGTAGAAGGTCCTCTCATCCGGACAGGAGCCCGCACAGAGGTTGCTCAGCTCCGACAGGGCCACCACAGGGTGGGAAGAGAGAGGGGAGTTCTGATACAGACGATACACCTCCTCAGCCTTCTCCTGCAGGGAAGCAGAACGTACTTTCAGCCCTGACAGCAGCCTGCAGAGCCCAGTGCTTCAAAACTATGACCTCACAGCTAGGGCAGGGGGCACTGACCTCATCTTCCCTACAGCAGCAGCTTGGAAAAAGGAAAAAGGACTTGTTTTTCAAAACCTGGAGGAGTTTGGAGACTAAGCATGAAATGAGGTACACTCATTGTAAATGGAGCCTGCCCTTCAGTGGGGGGTTGCCTGGCCCAGGCCTGGTCCCTGAGGGCAGAATGAGGCTGCGTGGTGAGGTGGAAAGGCCCAGGGACGAGGGCTAGAGCCTGGTTTGTAGCCCAGGCTGTGTGACCCTGGGCCAGCATCACCAGGCTGAGGAGTGTGAATGACATTAACAGCGAAATTCCCTTCCAAACCTTGCCTCTCCATTTTTATACCAATTGGCAGGAACATTACTAGGTTCATGGAGTCTCAAGACAAATGAACAACTTAATATCACACCTAAAGTAACTTGTAAAAGAGGAAGAAACATGATGTAAAGTTAACAGAAGGAAAGAAGTAATAAAAATAAGTGTGGCTATAAATGAACAGAAATCTAAGGACCATAAGAGATGGTTCTTTGAGAAGATAAAATCAATAATCCCCTAAGGAAGTTAACAACAGAAAGAAAACAATGAAATTACCACAGGTAATTAGAAAGGAAAACAATGAAATTACCACAGGTAACATAGAAATACAAAGGATCGAAAGAAATTACTGTGAACAAGTCTACACTAATAAATTCAATAACCTTGAAGAAATGGACAAATTTCAAGAACAATACACTTTACAAAGACTAAAGCAGGTGAAACAGAGAAGTTGAATAAACTGATTACAATCATGAAACTAAAACCTGTAATCAAAAATCTCCCCCAAAACTAAAGCCCATTGCCAGGCCACCTTATAAGTTAATTTTATCAAACCATTAAAGAAGAAATGATGCCCTCCTTGCTCAAATTTATTTCTAAAATCCAAGAAGAGGGAATGTTCCCTAAAATATTTTATGAAGCCAATATTACCCTAACATGAAAATCAGACTGCGATAACACAAGGAAACTGCAGACTCATCGATACCCCGATGTATACTGATGCGAAAATGTTCAACAAAACTGCAGCACAGGGAATTCAACAATACAGAATAGATTATACACCATGATCAAGTATGGTGTATCCTGGATATGTAAGTCTATAAACCAATCAACATAATACATTACAGCAACAAAAGTGAAGACTGTGATATTATCAACAACAGAAGGAGAGGAAGCAATTGATAAGATTCAGTATCCATTTACAATAAAAATGCTAAACACAATGAGGAAAAAGAGAAGTGACCTCAGTAAAGGCCTATATAATAAACCTACAGAAAATATTATACTTGATGGTGAAAATCTGAAAAGCTTTCCCTTTAAGAATAGGAACAACTATCTATTATCACCACTTCTGTTTAATTTATTAGTAGAGGTTCTAGTCAAAGCAATCAGACAGCAAATTGATAAAGAGGTGACCCCAACACTATTTGCAGATGTTATGTTACTACCGGTAGAAAACTCTGAAGACTCCACAAAAAAAAAAACTATTAGGCACAATAAATGAATACAACAAAGTGGTAGTTGACAAAATTAACATACAAAAATCAGTTGTATTTTTTCTATAAAAATAACAAGAAGAAAAAGAAATAAAGTAAATCCCATCAAAAAGCATTAAATACCTAGTTATTAACCTAACCAAGGAGGTGAAGAACTTACTCAATAAAAACTACAAGACTTGGCCCTCCTTGGTGGCGCAGCGGGTTAAAGCACTGCACTGAGAATCTAAAGCCGCTTCCGCATGAGTTCGATTCCCGCCTGCCCCGGAGGTGACCACATGGCATGGCAGACCTCTCCTGACCCGCCCGCTGCTCCCCTCAGCAGTGTACTTCGTCCATCTGCCTGTTCTGCTCCCCACTCTGTCTCTGGTGAAGCCTCTCGCCGCCTCTGAGCCTCTGGCCTGTACCCCAGTTCTGTCTGCACAAATAAATAAATCTTTAAAAAAAAAAAAAAAAACTACAAGACTCTACTATAGAATATAAAGCAAGACATAAAGGGCCGGAAAGACATTCTATGGATGGGAAAAACAATTTGGTCAAAATGACTCTTTAGCCAAAAGTAATGTATAGACTTAATGCAATGACCATAAAATACCAATGATAGCATTTAAAAGAAACAGGCTGAAAGATACTAAAGTTTATGTGGAAAAAAGACCTGGAATTGCTAAAGCAATCCTGAGAAAAAAAGAAAGAAAGGCGCTATCAAGTTACTTAAGTTTCAAATCATACTATGAAGCAACAGTGATTAAAACATATGATACTTGAATAAAAGCAGACACATGAAACAGACTTAGAGCCCAGAAATAACTCCATCTATATGCCAATATTGAATTCATAGAAAAAGAACCATAGCCACGCAATGGAGAAAGGAGAATGGAGAAACGGTGCTGGTGAAACAGATGGACACACTAATAAAAAAAAGTTGGACCCCTAACTCCATGCACAAAAATAAATTCAAAATGGCTTAAAGACTTAGATGTAAAACCTGCAACCACAAAATATATGGAAGAAAACATTAGCATGAAACAATATGTTTCACAACATTGGTGATAATGATATCACCAATGCTTAAAGGGAAGAAAAGCTAAAATAAACAAATAGGATTATCTCATATTAGAATGCAAAAGTTTAAATAGGTTTAAAAAAAAAACATATTTCACACATTACACAACCTACAAGGAGTTAATATCCAAGCTATACCAAAAAATTAATTTAACAATAAAGAAACAATCCAGTTAATAAATGGGAAGATGATTTGAAGAATTCACCAAAGAGGACATACAGAAGCCAAGTGATATAAAGGAAATTATTCAACACTGCTTTTAGAAGGGAGATGTAGGTTAAAACCACAATGAGATACCATCTTACACCTCTAAGAAAGGCACTTAACTTAAACGACTGTAGCAACAAGCACTAGAGAGGATACAGACAAAAGGAACTTTACCATACATTGTCAGTGAGAAGCTAAACTGGTGTAGTCATTTTGGAAAACAATCTGAATTCACATTAAAACTGAAAATGAATATAATGCATAATCCAGCAATTCCCCTTTGGGGCATCTAGCTATAGAACAAGACACCATGATATCAAAGTATGTGCTGTCTACAAGGTTTATTTACAATAGTTAGGACGCAGAAACAACCAAAAGTACCCTCTGATAGGAAACTAGATTAAGGTGAATTCAGTCATAAGAAAAATCAATGTTAGCATCTACAACAAAATGGAATGAGCTCAAGGGAACTGTGTATAATAAAGCAAATCAAAATGAAAAAGACAAATACTAGATATTTACATAAAGGATGTTTATATAGTAGAGTTATTGAAACTAGTCAACACTAATAAGTAAAGTGAGGTTTCTGAGGTTAAGTGTGAGAGGGGAGAGAGAAGGAACAAAGGGGAAAAAAAGAAATGGGACACGTTGACAAATCTAAAAATAACAGAAATTATTTTGGAGGCAATGTATGGTCAAAGTATGATTAACATCTACAAACAAACCAAGAGATTACTTGAGATAGTTCAGAGGAAGTTAAAAGGTTAAAATCCTTGTTTTTTGTTTTTAATTAGAAAGAGGACAGAAATATTGATTACATTTTTCCTAATTACAAAATTAAGATCTTAAAAAATTAAGTTATTTATATGCATTTTAACAGACTCTACAGCTAATGTTAAATATGCATAAGAAAGTTAAGAGTATAAATGAATATACAGTGTTACTTAAAACCATTTCTCTAAACTATATACTTGAAAATTTTCATAATAAAATTTTGGAAGTAAAAAACTCAAGATAGGCCCTCCCTGGTGGCGCAGCGGGTTAAAGCACTGCACTGAGAAGCTAAAGCCACTTCCGCATGAGTTCGATTCCCGCCTGCCCCGGAGGTGACCACATGGCGTGGCAGACCTCTCCTGACCCGCCCGCTGCTCCCCTCAGCAGTGTACTTCGTCCATCTGCCTGTTCTGCCCCCCACTCTGTCTCTGGTGAAGCCTCTCGCCACCCCTGAGCCTCTGGCCTGTACCGCAGTTCTGTATGTACAAATAAAATAAATCTTTAAAAAAAAAAAAAAAAAACTCAAGATAAGGTCCCTATTAAAATAGCTAGTAGGATAAAAAAAAAATCGAAAACAAGAAAAGGTCCTTTAATAGACTAGTTTTGTTTTTTTTTCCAAAGATTTATTTATTTATACATACAGACTGGGATACAGGCCAGAGATGCAGAGGCGGTGAGAGGATGCACCAGAGACAGAGTAGGGAACAGAACAGGCAGACTGACAAAGTACACTGCTGAGGGGAGTAGTGGGTGGGTCAGGAGAGGTCTGCCGTGCCATGTAGGTCTCCTCCAGGGAGGAGATCGAACTTGTGCTAAAGTGGCCTTAGCCTCTTAGTGCTATGCTTTAACCTGCTGCGCCACCAGGGAGGGCCCATAGACCAGTTTTTCCCTCTTGCTTTGACCATTTTTATCCTGTGACAGATTTCAAAGTGGCACATCTCACTGGGTTTAACCAGTTTGACTGAGTCAGCCGATTAATTAGTATCTTTCAATGGTATAGTAAAAAGAAAAGTATGTTACAAACAGGTAGAATAGGCTATTGTGAGAAGTCTAGGAAGTGTAAATGTCAGGAAACAATGTCACTGTGTCCCTCTATCATGGTTATGTCTCTTTCCTCTGGAAAGATCAAATAGCTACTGAGGTATACAATAAGCACAGAAAGCTATGAAAATATAGGGAAGGAAGACCCAGGAGTTCAGAGGTTGCTTGCAAAAAACGGCTATGAGGCAGAATTCTGAAGTAGTTACCAAGTGAAGTAGGCGGGAAGGGAATGTCGGGAAAAAGGACAATCAGGAGCAGTGCCTAAGTGTGAGTCAACACGGTGTTCACGGGTGCAGACAGTCTGTGTTTTCGCCTCTGTTGTCCATTATCTGCACATGGTGGGCAGTCACTAAGAGAGATGACATGGCTAGATTAAGCGAGATCTAGCTGTCAGCTGGGAAAGGATGGGTTGTAACAGTGAGGCTCAGAGGTGGGGAGACAATTTATGCAAGAGATTATAAATAAAAAGGATAAGAATAACAGGGACAGAGTGGGGATGGATTCAAGTAAAATTCAGAAGGTAAAACTGGCAGTTCATGATCACTAGGTGGAGAAAAGGAGAGAGGAGAATGCAGGTGACTCCTGGGAGCTGGCTTGAGTGACTGTGGATATATGTGACGTTATTAATTAACACCAGGAAGCAAAAGGAAACCATTATTTTAAAGGAAGGAGAAAACATTCCCTATTTTGAACATGTTGTTTGATGCCTGAAGTACACCCAAAAAGACCCACACTGTAGATAACTGGATATACAAATCTGAAACTCAAAGGAGACACCAGGAGAGCAGATAAAATTCTGAGAGTCCTCAGCATGTAGAAGGAATTACAATCACAACTGTAAATGAGTTACCAAAGGAAATTCAGAGAGCAAAGTAATAAGCTGAAGGAAGACCAACACATAAAAGATGAGGAACTCATGAAAGAGGAACTCAGAAGCACAGCTCAGGGAGAACCAAGAATCTACAGTAGAAGGTTAACAAAGTCAAAGAAGTGGAAAATTTAAGAAGTGAGTGGTGTCAAAGACAGCAGAAGAGACTAATAGGGAGCGAGCAAAGTATTTTTCAGATGTGCCTGCCCAGTCAGAGAACAGTGATTACTGTAAAGCTGCTGTACCAGAAGTACACTGGCCTTCACACAACAGAGCGATGGTACACGGTAGCTGGTTCTTATTACCACATATATAAAAGTCATTACCAAATGACAAAATTTTTAGTTAAAAAATGAAAGTACAAAGGAATTAAAAGAAAATATTTTTTTTAATCTGATTATACTTGAAGCAGAAGACTCCTTCCTAAGAGGAGCAATCTGATTGCAGAAATGTGAAAAATCCTGTATGGTAAAAGATATCATAAATAAAAATTAAAGCAATCAACAGACTGAAAAACAATATTAACATCTCTCATGCTAAATATATTACATGTATCCTGATCTAATATATGAAGAACTATAAACTAACATAAAGACATACAATCCAGTGTTTAAGACAAACAAATGGTATCACAGGCTGTTCACAGCAGGGGTGTATAAAAGCCAATAGATGGGTGAAAAGATGCTCAGCTCACAAGTAGGAAGTATATTGCATCAAATAGGCAGATTTAAAGACTAATGTTATACAGTATTGGTAAGATGTGGGGGGATTGGCCACTTTAATATAGTCTTGATTAAAGTGTAATTTGATAATTTCTGTTAAAATTTTAAAAATACATATGCATTTCTAGAAATAATTGTATAAAAATAAAAGAAGTACACAGACACATAAACATGAATTTCAATGTAGCATTTTTCTTCTTCTTTTTTAAGATTGATTTTATGTATTTATGCATATAAGAGCTGGGGTATAGGCCAGAGTTGCAGGGGGTGAGAGGATTCACCAGAGACAGAATGGGGAGCAGAAGAAGCAGATCTACTGAAATACACTGCTGAGGGGAGTAGTGGGTGGGTCAGGAGAGGTCTGCTGTGCCATGTGGATCAGCTCCCTGGCTGAGGATCGAACTTGTACTACAGTAGCTTCATAGTGCTGAAGCTACTGTACCAACTGCACCAACAGAGAGGCCCAGCATTTTTCTTCTTAACAAACATTGGAATGACAAAAATGTCCATCTGCAGGGCAACTATTGCATATATTGTGGCATATCTATAGATTATTTTGTAACCATCTAAAAGAATGAAGTTGCTCTACATTGGCCATGATATAGTAAAGTGGAAGGGAAAAAAAAAGTAGGCTCTGGACTAGCAGATAAATAAGATTTCATTCCTGGAAAACAAAAGAGTGTATATGTGTATATATGCGTATATTCATTTATGTGCTTAACAAAGATTTATGGGCTGTACACTGTTCCCAGTGTCCCAGGGCCTATGGAAAGTCCCCCTTCTAAGTAGGACAGACAATAAACAAGTGAACAAATAACATTTTCAGAAAGTGCTAGTTACAAGAAAATAAAATAGAAAATAACATGATCGGGAGTAAGACAAGACCAATAATAAGAGATATCTGCATGAACACAAACCCACAGGTGCCAATAAGAAGGGAACACATCCAAAAAGATGGGAATGGGTATGCAGAGAGGAAGTTTCATTTCATTGTATACTTTTTTAAAAGTAGCAAAATAATGGACAATTTTAATCTTTTTGCATCCTTTCAAATAAAGTTAAAAAGTTAGATTGCTTTCTGAGTCTAGAGTTGGAAAATCAATTTACCTTAGAAGCAGGATTTCTTCATTGTATAAAAATGCCCTTTAGTTTCCTGCATATATACATGTCCTCAGCCCAGAAGAACACGGGGAAGTTACCAAGTACGTCAAAGCAGATGTCCCTGAATGAGACTGTTCAGCGTTCAGTTGAGTGATGTAAACTGCGTATATATTTAACAGTACAGTGCCCCTGCAGAGCTAGATTTACTTTTCCACATAAATAGAATTAGACTACACTGCTGTCAGAATTTATTGTTAGTTCTTGGAAGGGCTAAATAATTCCTCACCACTCTCCACCTTTGCTCTCAAAAGATTTAAAGTCCAAAGGTGATCTGTGGGGACACAGCATCTACCTCCCTTCACCCCAGGTGGAGAACACATGAGATCAAAGACTGCAGGGATGTTGGCCCAGAACCACCAAAATATCCTGAAGTCTCTAGGGGACCTTGGCTAAGGGGGCAGAAGGGGGGCCAGGGTGCTGGGTGGGGGAATAGCCATATTATGGGGAGGGGAGAGAGGGCAGCAGGGGAGAGGAGGAAGGGAATGTGTATTGCTCAGTCAAAACTCCTGGGGGAGAGGGAAAGTTGGTAGATTCTGGACTTTTTCCTCAGTCTGAGGCAGAGAGTATACAGGGCTCTGATGAGGAGAAACTGGAGCTCCTCCTGGCGTGGGGAATGAGAATTCCATGCTGGCTCCACCTAAGCAAAACCTCCAGTGTTATGCAAGGGTCCTGAGATTGGACTCGGTCTGCAAGTTGTCAGGCCCTCCCTGGTGGCACACTGTGTTACAGTGCTGCACTATGAAGCTCTCGCAGCCACTGCAGCATGAGTTCAACCCCCAGCCAGGGAGCTGACCCGCATGGTGCAGCAGACCTCACCTGCCCCCACCGCTGCTCCCCTCAGCAGTATATTTTAGTAGATCTGCCTCTTCTGCTCCCCACTCTGTCTCTGGTGAATCCTCCCACTCCCACACTTCTGGCCTGTATCCCAGTTCTTTTATGTATAAATAAATAAATCTTTAAGAAAAAAAAAAAAAAACCACTGTCTGCAGCATCCTTCTGCAACCTGGTGTTCAGTCAGCTTTGCAAACAGACACGTAAGTGTACACACACACGTGCCCTCGTAAAGGCCACTGTGCGCAGCAGTTATGGCGGTGTAGGTTTACACCTAAGGCTGCAGCAGGTTTGCACTGGATAAAGAGAATGTGGTGACAACAGGGTTAGGAAAGAGAGACAGAGCAGTTACTAAGCAGGGACCCAGAGCCCGCAGAGGAGCCATGTTGTGATGGGGAAAACCTGAGCGGAGCAGCGGCTGAAGGAGGCGCCGAGAAAGGGGGGTGGAATTTACAGATCAAGAGGCAAGGAGGGCAAGCGGATAAGGGCAGATTAAGAGTACAAATGGGTTAGAGGAAAGACTTTCATCCTCCGAACTTGTTGAGGAAGAAGGGCTCACGAGGTTAAATCAAAGCTGCGACAACAGAAAATGGAAGGCACTAACTTAGGAGAGATGGAAGGCAGGTGTGAGGGGTTTGGAGGGGGCAAGACTGGGCTGTGGGATGATTCTGAGGGACCTCCTAAAGTTGGGGACCATAAGAGACCCCAGTCTTGGTGATACGGTGATGTTCTTTAACAGGGATGGAAGACCTCAGGCTGATCTAAGGTACTGATTTATTGGTGTCTTTGGTGTGGATTAGGGAGCCTGTGATGAGAGAGAAGGGACTAGCGAGGGAGATGGGCAGCGCCCGTTGCTCACACTAGGCTGTGAGGAAGCTGACCAGGAGAGCATGACGGTACCAAGGGCCTGCAGTGTCCTGGAAGAAAGTGATGGAAAGAAGCAAGGATGGAGGCGATCAGATTTAAGAAGACAAAGTTCCAAGTCACAAGGTCCTCAGAAATCCTGAGAAATTTTAACAATAAACTACAGAAGACAAAGCATTTTCCAAACTTTAGCTTCTCATTAATTCCTATAGTTACTGAAAAGAATCAATTGAACATGACCGACAATTCTTAAAAACAAAGGATTATTCTTAATATGTCAAAGCCCAACTAACACCAAAACAATGTGCAGTATAAGTAAAGCCAGACAAACTCACACAGGCTCATGGAGGGTGCTGTCATGGCAGCAGGTACATCCAGGCCACTCCCCTCTCAGCACCTACCTTAAGCAGCTCCACAGCCACGAGCACCTCCTCGGCAGGAACCTTATTATCCCCCAGCATGTTGGACAGCGTCCACTTGAGGGGCTTCAGCAGGAAGACGCCAACTCCCCAGGAGATCCAGCTGCTGTCCACACTGGCCATGAAGTCTGACTCTCGCTGCAGCTCCCCTCGACTGCAGGCAAGCGAAGAGAAGGGTATGTGGTAGGTTTCACTCAATGTCCTACTCCAGTCTCCTGCCTCCTTACTCAAAAGAGGGATCTGATCTCCATCATCATAGACAGAATTTATTAATTACCTACCTGTGCCAGCTACTGTAAGCAGTACTGCTGATGCTCCAGCCCTAAGCCTCACCACTCCGAAAAACACATGTGTCAGCAGAGTTTGGGGGTTAGTTAATGAGAACACTGAGAGGCTAAGGAGGTAAGAAGAGAGGCTAAGTCTCAGCTATAATCTGCCTGCCTTCAACACATCAGCTCTCCCCCAATACTCCAGAGGCACATGAAGCTACAGGGCCCATTTTGAATAAACATGAATATAACAACAATGGATCACTATCAAGTGCAAGACATAAGGAAGAACAGAAATATGTTCAAAGAAATGGTTTTCTGCTATTCCTATTTGGGGTGGACACAAAATAGAAGCCTTTCATAGTACTGATGCAATGTACTAAAAGCTACCAGTCACCATGCTGAGGGCTATATGGGTAACATCTCTTCAAAACCTCACAATAAATCCAGTTACACTCATCATCTTATAATTGGTCAAACTAAGGTTTAAAGAGCACTTAATTTGTCTAAGGTCACATAATTTAGCAAGTGGCAGAGCCAGGATTTTCCCTCAAAGCTCCTAAGCTATGCTGCACCTCCAGAGAAAAACCTCCCTCAGAAATTTTTCAGTTGTCAGTCCCAATAAGCACCAGGGAGAGTCAGCAGTGCCAGCAGGCAAGAGGGGAGAAATGGAGATAGCAAGGTCTCTAGATTGCAACGGTAGTTGGTCCTGCTGCAGTAAGAAAGCCCAGGCTGTTTTTGTGCCTCACTGATTTCTTCAGCTACCATCTCCCATGCTCTCCACTTTAGGCATCACCTGCAACTTTCTCCACATCACACTTCCTCAGAAAAGAGAAACTTCCAAAAGAGGTGTCCCAGCACACCAGCCAACAGCAAGATACGAAAGAGAAGCAAGCTTGAAGAAATAAACCAAAGTTGACTTACTTCTCCACTCAATGAGGGAGACACATACTCCCTAAGCTGCCCTTGGTATCAGACAACCTGAAGTGAAAATGGTTTAGAATCAGCAGACCAGGGGTCCAGTCCTGCCATTACCTCTAACTACTTTTGTAACTCCAAGTATGTTGACAGACACTGCAGACAGAGATCCTGCTGAGGGGTCAGATGAAATAATGTGTGCAGCCTCAGGTACCTGCAAAGCACACCTGTTGCACACACCACACCTGCAGGACCATCTCAAAGCACCAAGAGATGCATTAAAGACCTCACCCTCCTTCCTGGGCTCTCTCTGATGCAAACAATCAGTACCACCAACAAGCCAACATAGGCCAGACACAGGACCTGTGCTGGGGGCTATTGGCAAGATCCCTACAGGGCTGTTCCTCACGACTGACCTCTTAGCTCTCATCTCCCTTAGTTTAATAAACCCCATCTCATGGACCAGCTGTTCCAGGGGTAATTCAAATGTGCACCCCCTACGAAACAACTACATAACAGGATTCCAGTCCAGACAAATCGCTGTCACCTCTGCCAGGCTGGGTTCTCTTACCATCTGATCCTCACCTAATAGGACTCTGCCCCAGTGTGCCCCGTACCCCCTTTGCCTTGCCCTCGAAGCCCCCTAACCCTGCCTCCAGGTCGTCTTGGTCTCCTAGAAACAGACCTTGTCCTCCGAGGCACCGCGGCCCGATGCGGTGCGGGGTCAGAACAGGCTTGGGGGCCCTGCCCTCGGGGCGCCACCCCCACCCCGACCCGCCCCGGCCCGGGGCCCGCCCTCACCGCAGCAGGTCCTGCAGCACGGTGGCCAGCCCCAGCGGGACGCTGCCCTTGCGCTGAAAGGCCTCCTGCAAGTCCCGCAGACGCAGGCGCACCACCCCCTGGCGGCGACTGTGGCTCAGCACCAACGGCGCCCAGAAGCCCATCTTGCTGTCCCAGTCGGTGCTGTTCACCTCGCGGCTCCTTTTGAAGGCGGAGAACAAGAAGGACATGCGCTCCTCATCCTCCTCCCACTCGGGGGGCAGTAGGCCCGCGGGGTCTCTCCCGGCCGGGATCTCGGCCTCCCGCTCCGGGGACCACATCGGAACCCCAGCCCCGCCAAGGACCGAACACAACCCCGGCCCTGGTCCCCTTCCGCCCTAGTTCCTTCCCGGCTTCCGTTCCTTGACCACCTCCTCCTCGGTCATTACGTCACCGCCGTCCCCAGCGTGAAATAGGTCCTGAGCGTCCTCACGGAGCATGTGTCAAGCGATCCTCCCCTCGCCGGGAGGCGGGATGATGACCCGATTCTCTAGGAGACTCAGAGCGCCTGCGCTGACTCCTCTTCCCGCAGTCTTTGTGCGGAAAGACGGGCTAGGTCTTGCGCCGCGGTAGGTGAGCGGCGCGCCCTCCGCTATCATAGAGTTTGACGGAACAGTATAGAGAGGCAAGCGATTACGCCCCTAATTTGTGGTGGTTTCAGATGGTGGGAATGGAGAATCCCGCTAGGGGCGCCGGAGCTCCCGCAGCGATCGCGGCGGACCGCTCTTAGCCCAGTGCTTCGTACTTTAGACCCAACTTTCAGCTTTGCTTCGTTATCGTGAAAGATAACGTCAGCGAATGGAACTGTTGGTCACTCGGTGTGTACACTGATTTTGCGAGAGATATAAACTTGCGTCCTATCTTCCTCCCTAAAATGTTCTGCTTTCTTCTCAGCATCGATCCCCTTAATATCCAGCTCAATTCTAATCTTCCTTGAGATCCCAGCTTGATCTGACTCATTGTGGATCTCCTGAATCATGGTTGATCTCTTTCTTAGACTGCAGATTTTAGTATGTACTATTCTGCATCTTGTTCTTTTAGTTCTCCGAGGGGAGGTGCAAAGGCTGGCATATTTCACAAACTGAAAGGTATATAACTTGACTCATGCCCTTCGAATCTTGTTAGATTGAGGCCTAATATGCAATAAGATTATCACGAATTCTTTTCTCACAAAAAATCTTATGTGTAATGAACATGTCCAATGTATTAGGAGTAAGTTGTTTTCTTTTTAATCTGACCAGTTATAAAGTGAAAGGGGTTTCTTCTTTAATGGAACCAGGTAACAGTCACCTGCAAATGTAAATATGGCCTCTGCCACTCGCTAGTTGTATGACTTTGATCATGTATCTTAAGTAAAGCTACTGCATTTCCAGGAAAGCAAAGTGGCACATGTATGGCCACCTATGCCAGAAAGTGCCACTGGGTTCCTGATACTTCTGGGCACTGGCTCTCCACTTTCACCTTTTGGAGACTGGAAGAGCGGCTAGGATTTGGGGAGAATGGAAGGAAAAGCTCTGAGATCCTAAGAAGGGTAATTAAATATATGGCAAACTTTCTGACAGCACTTCCACCTGTTACATTCTTCTACTCTTACAACACTCTTTTTCATCCTCAGGTCACAGCTTCAAAGACACTTCCTTTAAAGGTCTTCTCTGAACATTTTCATACACCCTTAACTTTTTAGAGTGGATGAATCAGTGACAACCGCTGCTAATTAATGTTAATGTCACAAAAAGAAAAGCCAAATCTTATATACCTCCTGAAGTAATGCAATAGGTAAACAAAGCTACCTATGAAGTATTTTTCAAAAAAAAAAAAAATGAACCTGAATCCATTCAAGCACTAGACTTTAATTCTAGTTTATGGTGGCAAAAGATAAAATCAGAAAATAGAGGAACATGTTTAGTGAAAGCTGGTATGGTGATCAGCAAAATCGAAACTAGAAATTTGGCTAGACGGGAACCTCATTTGCTACACAAATAATGGCAACAAAAATACTTTTAATGTGCCATGTTTGGGGATCCAGTTTGCAACAACAATCATTAAAAACTCATCTGTGGGCCCTCCCTCCCTGATGGCGCAGCAGGTTAAAGCAGTGCAGTAAGAAGCTTAAGCCACTTCTGCATGAGTTTGATCCCCGCCTGCCCCGGAGGTGACCACATGG